AAGCAGAAAGAAGAAAGATAGACGTCACTGAAATGTTCTGTTGGAGAAGAATGTTACAAATTTTGTAAACCGACCACATGACAAATAATCCAATTGTAAATGTGCTAAAAGGTTCAGCAAAGTTCATCTCTAACAATTAAAATACTTTTGTATCAGTCATGAGAGCAGACACAGAAAACATGGAAAGATTTATTATCCAAGGATAGGTAGAAGGTCGAAGATTACAAGACAGATTCCCAACAAGATGGATCGATCAAATTACAGGAGTATACAAAACTTATCCATGAGTTAAAAGAAATAACCAAAAATAGAGATAGTTGGAGATGGACACATCACGATGTCCACTACACTCCCTCCGGCGGTAAGGATTGAAGAGAGACACTTATCACACGTATTTATAGACTACAAATCAGCCTACAACTCTGTAAATAGAAGAGAATTATTATTTAAAGCAATGAAAAATCTAAGAGTACAACTCTTGAAAATTTGTATGTAGAGTACGAATCCAGAGGGAACGGTCTGAACCTTTTAAAAAATATAACGGGCTACGCTAGGAAGAGAGGGTCCTGTATACTGTTCAATTTGGCTGTGGAAAAAGTAATACGTATGTCACAAATCTCGCAGTTTTCCAAAGCGAAAAACTTTGGAAAACTGCGAGACACACTTAGGGCCAACATACCAATCAGCCTCAAAAGAAGTGTTTGAAGTGTTTGACCAATGCGTATTACCGGTCATGACCTATGGGGCAGAAACTATTACTTTAACCAAGACCACGGCTTCGAAACTGAGAGTGGCACAGAGACGAATGGAACGGTCTATGCTGGGAGTGACGTTGAGGGACCGAATAAGAAACGAAGATCTGCGAAGAAGGACGAGTATTACTGATGTTGTGGAACGCATAGCGGAACTAAAATGGAACTGGGCAGGCCATGTAGCGAGAATGCACGATTCACGATGGACGAGCAAAATTACAAATTGGAGGCCAAGAGCAGACAAACGCAGTAGAGGAAGACCACCTACACGTTGGGCCGACGACATCAGGCGTATCACTAAAAATTGGCAACAAAGAGCACAAAATCGTGAGGAATGGAGGAGTTTAAGGGAAGCCTATGTCCAGCAGTGGACGTGATAAATAGAGGCTGGATGATGATGATGATGATGATGTCACAAATCACAATCACCGGCTCAATATACAACAAAACGAAATACATGAAAATAGGAATTTGTATACTCGTTAACACTGAAAATACTACTACCGCAAAGATTATTTTGGGCTTAATCTCTTTCTTAAATCTTCAACTAAATCGAGAAATTCAAAGATAAAACTCTTCAATACAATAATACGCCCAGTCCTAACATATGGTTCAGGTAACAAAATGTAATGAAAACATGTTAGGCTGTTTCGAAAGAAAAGAGCTAAGGCAAATCTATCAAGCGGTGAAGTAAAATGATATATGAAGAAGAGATACAACTGCGAACTTTCTAGAATATGCCAGGAGCCAGATATCGTAGAATATATTAAAATTGATGTGAAAAAGGACCATTGAGGTAAATAAGGCATGTAATGTATATGTAGCAAAATAACTCAGCTAGAAAAACGCTCTAATAGACTCATTGGTCAGAAAAGAAGAGGAAGACCTAGAAAGATTCCTTGATAACATCGATGAAGACATAAGAAACATTGGAATACGTACTTGGCGGAGAAAGGCAATGGATAGGGACGAGTGAAGTGAAATTTTTGAGAGATCTAGGACCCACGCAGGCTTGTAAAGCCAGAATAATGAATGGTGATACTAGAAAAAAAATTATAAAAATCAATTGGGCTGGTACAGATATCTAATAAGGAAAAACAAATAAATTAAGCGAAATTGGAGCAAAAATCGTAAAGACGATTGAAGAAATTAGATGAGTGTAGACTGGAAAAATTGGAAGGAATGCATAGGTATTAAACATTGAAATATTGAAAAAGAGATTGAATAACACAAAAAATAGCTACGTAACAATGATTGTGGATGTTCAATCAAAGCATCCTCCCAATACCCACGTCCGGAGCACAAACCTGGACATTAATGAAGAAAACAACATCAAATGTTGAAGTAACACAAACAGCAATGGAACTAGTAATGATGAGAATATCTTTAAAATCAAATAAGAAAAGATTTGATAAGAAACAAAAAAAATAGCAGACATAAAAAGCTTTCATTTTTTTGTATTTTTGTGAAACAATGTCTCTCAAAATTTTGAATGGCTTTTTTCAACATAGAGACATGCACAAATTTACATGGATACAACCTACTAGGAATCTGCACTCGATAATCGACTATTTAATCCATCGTTAAACTTCCCAGCTGAAAACAACTGACGTAAGGGTATACCGTGGATCAGAATGTGGATCCGACCTTCGTTTACTTATGGCCAACGTGATATTAACTATCGCAAAAACAATAACACTCAGGTACAGAATATAAAAAAGGGAGAAGAAGTAGCATCCCCTAAATATAACCTGGAAAACTTAACAGAAGATTCAACGAAATTTCTTTACAAATTACGACTGACCACAAAATTACAAAATTTGGATCAAGAAAATATATCAACGGAAGAATTGTACCAGAAACTTAAAAAATACATTCATGAGGCTGCAAGTGAAGCTTTGGGGTATAAAAATGAGATGTGGGATCGAAGATGTGCAGAGGTGGATAGGTATATGGGTGAAACAAGAGTTGGGCAAGCAAGGAAGGTGATAAAGTCTCTTCGGAGGAAAGGAAAGAAAAAATCTAACTTACAGTTAATAGATCTAAAACAGTGGAAACACCATTATGAGGTCTTACTGACAGAGGATAGATGTAAATTCCAAGAGGTCGAAATCGAAGAATTATCCACACATACACAAATAATTGAGATAACAACCGGAGAGTTAAGCAATGTCCTCAAAAGAGCGAAAAAACGGTAAAGCAGCAAGACCTGGAGACATCCCAATTGAGTTGGTAAAGTATGGACCAAAAATATTACATAAGATGTTGGTTCAACTATTTAATAAATGCTTAAAAGGACAAAATATCCCTGATGATTGGAATGTTGGATACATCAGCTCATTATTCAAGAAAGGGGATAAACGCAAATGCTCTAATTATAGGGGAATAACTGTTATCAGCTCAGTGGGGAGGTTGTACGGTCGAATAATAAAAGAAAGAATAGAATCAGAATACGAAGACATAGAAGAACAAAATGGATTTCGTGCAGGAAGATCGTGCCCTGATGGTATATTCGTTCTGCAGCAGGTAATCGAAAAACGAAAGGCAATGAAATCGATTTACCCACCTATTGTTTGTACATTTAGAGAAAGCATACGATACGGTACCTTTGAAAAAACTGTTTCATACATTGACGAAAGTAGGTCTCAGTAGAGAGTATGTAGATGCTGTCGCAAATATATACAAAAATAACAAAGGGGCTTAAACAAAGATGTTGTCTATCTCCGACCTTATTTAAAATATATATTCAATCATCGCTAGAGCCGTGGAGGAAACAAGCATCCGGAATGGGAATAGATATAGGCGATAATAAATGTTTAACAACTTTATTTTTCGCAGATGATCAGGTAGTCGTAGCGAATGATGAGGAAGACGTAGACTACATGTTTAGAAAACTAGGAGAATGAGAAAAATAAGAGATGATGAAGAAGATATTCAGAGTTAAAAATTAGAAACACAAAAACATGCAATGAATATAAATATCTCGGATCTATAATATCTAAAGAAGGCACGCACTACCAAAAGAGACATCGAAAACAGAACGCAGCTGGGAAAAAAGCTGTAAACATTATAAACTCTCTACTATGGTCTAAAGATATTGGACAAGAAACGAAATTAACAATCTATCGAACCTTGGTAGAGCCTATTATGACTTATGGGGCAGAAGTTTGGCATAGCACGAAAAAAGATAGAAAAAGTATAGAAGTAGTAGAAATGGATTTTCTAAGGAGAGGGTGTGGTGTAGGAAGATATTAGAAGGAGGACAAATAGTGTATATTCCAGTGTAGACAGAAATGAAACGAGACAACTAGTGTGGTATGGCCACGTGAAGCGAATGAATGAAGATATATGGTCAAAGAAAGCTTTAAATTACATACCACAACAAAGAAGAAGAAGGGGAAAGCCTTCAGTTGTCTGGAAAGAAAATGTACGGCACATAATGAGAGATAGAGTCGTCAAAGAAAACGAATGGATGTACAGAAAACGATGGCGGTCGAAATGCGAGAAGCGGCAGAGGCTGTAGAACCTCGCGTATAGATAAAATAGCAAAAGGATAACATGTCAAATAAACTCACCTCAAATGAGATAACATAACGATCTTCAAAAATACACTTTACATATGGATGACAACGGCATTGTTGTAAGAGAAAAAGAGAGGAATATGTACAAAAATGAATAGAATAATGCACAAATAATAGATAGACAACTCAATAGTTATTGCAAAAAGGAAGAAAATACATAAATCAAGCCATAATTATTTTAAGAAGGAACGCCACCAAGATTACTAAGAAATTACATATTAATATTACAGACTGTGAATAATTTAAAATATCAAAATTCAAAATAAAATTTTAAAGTGGTGGTTTTTTCTTTAAATATATAAAACTCAATTTAAAATTCTATCAATTAGAGAATTGTTACCTCCAAACTTGGTAACATATATTGAAAATACGTTAAACTCCTTTAAAACCATAAAATAGTCACTTTCCATATAATTTCAGTTGATTTTCAGTTACAAGATTCTATATTGTAATTTTTATTTATAATTTTTAAGTTTTTGTTATGTTTATAATTGTTTTAATAAAATTATAGTGCACTTTTGATAAATATAATTATATATTTTATTATTTCTATATTTATTAATTAAGGGCCTAACACGTGTGACATATAAGTACTAGTTTTATAAAATAATATTTTTATGTTGTGCACACATTAAAACACTTATTTAAACACATACGTAGTACTTACGTGAAGTTCACTAAAAGTCAGATCACTTTTTAAAAACCGTTTCTTAAAACTCGCTTTCATTTAGAGGCTCCTTTATATATATACACATCCATGAGGGAGCGCCCACGAAGTCGTCCAGTCTGCGCATCACTTAAAACTTTTGCGGACATCTCAATGAAATTGTCACCCTACAATTAGGAATTGTTTGATAAAGGTAATAGTTGATAAGCTTGGGGTTTGCATGTACGTGTTAGTTCATACATACAATTTTTGATTGTTGATCATTAAGGATTTTTTTTTATTTACTAATAATAGTCGCTTCAACCACCTGGGTCATTAGCGACATTAGTTTACATTAGTTACTACATTAGTTACTACATTATATTAAATTATATAAAGATGTTTCTTTTAGAAATCTAATTAAGTTTTTAGTATTTAAATGTTCACCTAATACTGTTTTTAAGTCACTGGAAATATTGTTATTTTGTCTGTTAACTGTATATTTTCCTCATTCTGTTAGATGTTTAACAGTAATATTGACTTGACAGTAATCACACACTGGAATGTCTTCTTTACTTATTAGGTGCTTATGAGTAATATTGGTATGACCTAATCGAAGTCGAGAAATTTTGACTTGGTCAGCTCTTTTTAAATTTACTAGGCGCCACGGTTTCACTGTTGATTTAATTTCTTTTAATTTAGATTCCGATAAGTTCCACTTATTTTGCCACGCACTAATCACTTTTTCTTTAACGAACTGTTTTATATCACTGCAGATAGTCTTTGATACTATTATAGCTTGAACATTTTTGGTAGCTTCTCTTGCTTGGAGGTCTGCGTTTTCATTACCTTGTATTCCCGTGTGAGATGGAACCCACATAAATTTGACTTCTGAACCAGATTCTTGTAAGGCAGCAAGTTCTTTCTTGACAAGTAAGGCTATAGGGTTCTTAGTATATAGTTGACCGATTGTTGTTAAGCAGTTTAGAGAATCTGTGATAATGACGGAAGAAGAATGGTTTGTACTTTTGATATGAATGAGGGCTTGTAATATTGCATATAATTCTGCTGTGTATATAGAAGTGGCTGGCATTAATTTAAATTGGGAAGAGGAATATGGAGTGACAAATGCTGCTCATACGTCATTTGCAGATTTGGAGGCATCTGTATAAATGCAAAAGCTTTTCCCGTAAGTCTCGAGTTCCTTTAAACATGACTGTCGGTGATGTATCTGATTTGTTATATTGGAGTAGCGTCGTATTGATTTCTAGGATCATGATTAACAAGGGAGGTGGAGTTTTTACATTTGAAGGAAAGAGGTCAGAAATTTGGAGTTGAAGATCTTTTAAATTTCTTCGAACTCTTTCGTAGAATGGTGGATCGAACCTACTTTTGTTATAAGCTTCTAGGTAACGGTCCGTAAATGCATTTTGAAATACTGGGTGGAATTTGTTGCTGGCGACTGATGCTGCATATGAAAGACATAAATAATTTCTTCGTAGATTAAGATGTGGCTCTCCTGTGAGGCATTGGAGATTCTTAACTGGTGTGGTTCTAAATGCACCTATGGCAATGCGAAATGCTGTGTTCTAAATGACTTCAAGTTGCTTGGTAACATGTTTTTTAGCGGAGGCATACACAATAGCCCCATAATCTATTTTTGATCTAACGAGTGACTTATAAATATTTAATAACGTGGTTTCGTCGGATCCCCATTTTTTATTTGATAATGTTTTCATTACATTTAATCCATTTTGGCAAGACTTTTTTATTTCTAAAATATGTTGTTTCCATGTTAGTTTTTGGTCAAATATCATTCCGAGAAAATTAATTTTTTCTGAGAATTTGAGCGGCTGACCATACAGTTTTAAAGATGTTCTCTGTGGCCGGTGCCTTCTTGAGAAAAGCATGCATTTTGTTTTTAGTGGGGAGAATTGCACGCCTACTGACATTGACCATATCTCTAAATTATAAATAGATTCTTGTAAGTGTTTTTGAATCATTCTCATATTCTTGCCCTTTGCAAATAGAACCAGATCGTCGGCATATAGTCTTCCCTTAACTAGCGGGGAGCAGTGATCCAGTATATCGTTAATAGCCACGAGAAAAAGAGTTGGGCTCATAACTGACCCTGATCATTAAGGATTAATCATTAGGTTTTTTCAGAAAAGTTTTGACTGTTTTTTTAAATGCTATTGCTCTGTTAAATATTTATGTTATTATTTATCTTGTATTTATATTTTTATTTAATGTTGAAATTATATTACCAAAAGATATAAACAACTTATTTCAGAAAGGGACTCGAATCATTTACCTAACTTTTGAGAAATGTGCAAAAAACTGTCTGCATATGAAAATCCTTAGTTTTGTGCCATGATAATTTTTTCTTAAGTCAACTACATCTGTACAAGTAGATTAGAACTAATAATTTCCAATTTAATAATATTCTTCATTTATAAAACATTTATTAATTTGTGTTTTTTCATGTAATTAGGTACCTTTCTGCAATAAAATTACAGTTGAGTTTACGAAAGTACAAGCTGATTGTAGCCGCAAATGTCAAACGTGGAACAACAAATATCGGTATAGCAGTGTTGGCATGTTTTTAGAAATTAGATGTTGTATACTTCAAATATAAAAAGATAAAGCTTTAGAAAAGTACATTTTGTTTATATTGTGTTACGAATTCTGCAATTTTTGATTTATATAAAACAACAATGAGTAAGTATTTGTTTCTTTGGAGATTAATTGCAGTTAATTATTAGAAATTTTTGTAGCAATTACCCTTTGATAGATTAGGGGATAGATTTGGCAATCGTCAAATCAGCAGTTTCCAGATTATAAAAGATGTTTTCAATTAATCTCGAAAGAGACAAATATCTACTCGTTATTACTTCATATATAATACAAATTGCAGATATATATATAATACAGATTTTGAAAAACGAAAAATGGCTAAATGATTTGGCATTTTTGACTGACATCACAATGCACTTAAACACCATTAACTTGGAGCTTCAAGGTAAAGGAAAAACTATTATTGAGATGATTAGCGCAGTAAACGCATTCAAAAGTTAATTGCAACTTATGATAGATCAACTGAAAAGAAAGGATCTGAAACATTTTTCGTCTTTGAAAGCAAGGATTCCTCAGTTGAATTATGATACGTATGAGGCTGAATTATCAAATATTTTGGGACAATTCGAAATGCGTTTTTATGATTGCAGTAAATTGGAAAATATAGCATCATTTATGAGTTATCCTTTTTCATGTAAAAACATTGAGGAATTAGCTACTGAAATAGCAAGTCAGTTTAATATGAACTCATGTTCTGTTGAAAATGAGTTAGTGCAGATTATATCAGATATACATCTCAAAGCTACAGTATCTGATACAAATTTCTGGCGTTTTATATCTGAAGATAAATATCCGAATGTAAGACAAATCGCCCTTCAACTGACAGCATTTTTTGGGTCAACTTACTTGTGCGAGTCTGCATTTTCTGAAATGAAGATAATTAAGTCAAAATATCGCAATCGACTAACTGACGATCATATAACATCATGCTTGAGATTAGCACTCAGTGGTTACGTACCATCTTATGAAAAGTATGCTGAGGACATGCAGTGCCACGCTTCAACATCCAAAGCCACTCCTTAGTTAAGTTTAACACCATATGTAACTCTTTTGTTGTGTAACAACAAATAAACTCGCAATTTTGAATAACTATGAGTTTTTTCATTGATATTGTAGAGAAGAACCTATCTAAACCTAACCCAAACCTTGACTAAAATAATGTACCTATATTGTACAGAAAGCTAATATCCATACATGATACGGTACGCCTTACCTAGGTAGATAGGGTGTATCGTGTATGTACGACAACCCTGCATCACACACACTTGCAGTCTCTCAGAGTCGATCGTAAGTAGTCTAAAAATATTGAGGTAGATCGCCAGCAGTTCAAGTTTGAGCACCCCTGATCTACATCATAAAAAGAGTATATGGCAAGATTAGTTTATGACACACAATTAACTTGCACTACATATTATTTTTGCACATACACTTTAAATTGAAAATTGTATAATTTATAAAAAATAAAATTAATTTTTGGTCTCAAGTCGCCCTAGTCTCCCTAGTTGGATAAATTGTAGGTAATTTTAATTTGAGTTAATAAAAAAATATTGTAAATTTCAAAAAAAGAAGGCCGTGATTAAAAAATAGATCTGCTAAAGTTTTACACTTTTTGAATTTTTGATTGCAATAAATTCGTTTATTTTGATACTAATTTCCTTTCCTATTATGTAGATACGATTCAGCATAACCTGGGGGCCTTCAAAGTTACCTGATAGAGGTATATGATATATTTGTAAATATTTAAACTAAATAAAAATAATTAAAAACAACACAATATTTGTTTACTTTAACAGAACGTATGGTACCTAACATACCAATAAAAAAGATAACGAGCATAGAATTACACCACAAAATGAGAGACGAAATTAAAAAAGTTCTAACTGGAACCATTACGATAACATTACTTATCTCTAAAATGATTTTAACTAAATCAAAGTAATACGTCATTTCACAATATTAATAGTAGATATTAAGTTAATTTACTACTGGAGAAATCAGTTTTCAACATTGGACCGTCACCTGTTGTACACTTCTTCTATCCTTAATTTAAGGACTGTCTGATTTCAGGCGTTATTTTTAATTTAATGATGTATATATTTTGTTGTTCTAGATCTAGATCAATCTGATCTAGAAAGACTACGTTAACATGGGACGTTCTACCCTACATATATGGTAGTGACCACTACCCCATTATAATTTCTTTAACGCATCAGTAAACCACCAAAACCGAATCGCCTATCTCAAAGTGGAATATTAAAAATGCTGATTGGACTAACTCTACCAAGCAGATCGGACAGGACATTAACCAAAGCAAATTCACATCATTAAACGACATTGACAAGTTTTTAAGTACATTTTTACAAACCATCACAGCAGCCGCAGAGACGTATGTAAGAAAAACAAAAATTTTAAAGAA